GTTAAACTTCCATTTGTCCATATTTCCAAAAAAAGTATCTCTTGTTTTTCATTCCCATAAGAATGAATACTATGATTTGCATTTTGAACCGGCATGAAGAGAGCATCTATAGGATAACTTCCATCGTCAAAGTGAAGGTCCACTTTGTTGAAATATCCGCGATTTCTCTCTATTTTTAATCCAATAAAAAAATCAATAGGTTCCGTCAACCAAGCTATATGTTGTGTGTTATCAACAATTTGTACATGGGGGGGTAATATTATATCTTGGGCAGTTACATGTCGAGGTCCCTTGATACAAATAGACGCATCACAACTTTCATATAGATTGCTCCTCAATACAATTTCTTTCAAATTCATTAAAATCTCATGTACCGATTCTTGAATCCCCCCTATGGTAGAATACTCATGCGAGGCTTTCTCAGATTTTACACGTGTGATACATGTCCCTTCTATTTCTCCCAGCAAAGCTCTTCGCATCGCAATTCCTATTGTAATCGGCTTGACCTTTTATAAGTGGAGATAGAATAAAGCGGCCATAAAAAAGGCGTTTACTGTCTATTCTTGATTCAACACATTTCCACTGTAGTGTCCGAGTAGATACTGCTACTTTCTCTCGAACCATAAAAATTTTGATTTAGTATATTAGTGAATCTTCTATTTCTCTTGATATAGGTTCACTTTTGATTTCTACACACGTCGTTTTTTGGGGGGTCTACAGCCATTGTGTGGCATAGGGGTTACATCCCTTATAAAAGTTAATAATATACCGCTTCTATGAATAGCTCGTAATACTGCATCTCTTCCGAGACCGGGACCTTTTATAAATACTTCGGCTCGTAGCATACCTCGATTCACTACTTTACGAAGAGCATTTATTACCGCGGTTTGAGCAGCGAAAGGTGTTCCTCTTCTGGTTCCTTTGAATCCAGAAGTACCGGCAGAGGACCAAGAAACTACCCGTCCCTGTACATCTGTAACAGTCACTATGGTATTATGGAAACTGGCTTGAACATGAATTACTCCTTTTGGTATTCTACGTGCATTCTGACGTGAACCAATACGTCCCCCCTTCCTACGCGAACTAATTCTCGATATATATTTTACCATTAAGCATTTTGTAAATCTGAGTCAGCGATATACTATATGGATATATCCATTTCACGATTCTTTCATTTCTATAATTGGTTTAGTTACTAAGTTAAGTTGCGAAGTCTTATTATCCCTGTCGTTGTTTATGTCTGGGATTGGAACAAATTACTATAAGTCGTCCCCTTCTCCGTATTAATCGACATCTGTCACAAATTTTACGAACAGAAGCTCTTATTTTCATATTCAGACTCCTTACATTTCTTTTAAATTTACTTTAGAGTTTCGGTTTGATTGGAAGATTATAATAAAAACATTCATTTTTTTTTTTATTTTCAATTTCTAATTTTGTTATTTTTGCCAAAGAGATAGCTAAGTTTAAAAATGACTCCTTTGAATCATTGTTGTGTTGCAAAAGCTTCATCGACTTGTTCTGAAGTTATCCGTCTAAACTAAAAATGAATTTAGCCTATTTTCACAAAAAGAACTTATAATCCAATCTTTATTACTTTATTAGTTGATTATCTAAATCAATAAAAAAGAAAACCAGAACATACTATTTGAAAAGGATTCCTTAATAAAAAAATTCTTGAAAAAAGGAAAGTGATTTTTGTTCTTTCATCCGAAGGACTTTATTCTTTATTTCAGTGACCTAGAAGCAATAAGGAATGGGGATTTCATTAGATTCTAAAATATCCCATTTGGGAATCATAGAAATGGAAAGTTTCTACCTAATTGGCATCTTGAAAATATTACCATATATAAAACAAAATCTCCCCCCCGATTCTTTGCAGTCGGGCTTCTCGGTCTGTCATTATACCACGTGAAGTAGAAAGAATTACAACCCCCATCCCGCCTAAAATTTTAGGTATTTTTTTAGACTTAGAATACATTCGTAGACCGGGTCGACTTATCCGTTTTAAATTTAGAATATTGCTAAAGGTCCTTTTTTTAGTGTTTATATGTTGCAGAGTTAAAACTAAAAAATTTTTGTTGTTTTCTCGATGATTTCTCACACTTTCAATAAAACCTTCTTTTAAAAGGAGTTTTACAATCTTTTCGTTAATATTACTGGATGGGATTCGAACTGTTCTTTTTCCATCCCTATGAGTATTCCGTATAGAAGTTATTATCTCAGCAATAGTGTCCCTACCCATGATGAACTCTAATTATGGAGCTAAAAATTTTTCTACTCTCAACGTGTTTTTTTTATTGTCTATGGATTATTGTGTTTATCTTACTTTATTTTAATCTTAAAGTTATATACGTGAGACAGATTCTACTCCATTTTTTAATTTTTTTTATAATACCTCAGGAGCTAATGAAACGATTTTAGTAAAATTTAATTGTCTTAACTCCCGGGGGATTGGACCAAAAATTCTGGTCCCTTTTGGATTTCCTTCTTTATCAATAACAACTGCGGCATTATCATCATATCGTATTATTATCCCCGTTGCCACGTTTTAGTTCTTTAGAGGTACGCACGATTACGGCTCTAACTACTTCAGATCTTTGTAGAGGCATGTTAGGTACAGCTTCTTTGATAACAGCAACAATAATGTCACCAATATAAGCATATCGACGATTGCTAGCTCCTATTATTCGAATACACATCATTTTCGAGCCCCGCTGTTATCCGCTACATTTAAAAGGGTTTGGGATTGAATCATAGCATTTTTTTTATTCTTTTCTTTCACAATGCAAAGGGCGAAGAAAAAAAGAAATATTTTTTGTCCACAAACATAAAACGAAACCTCTTTTTTTTTTGTTTTTTGTTTCATTCTTAAGATTCTTTGGGTTGGTTCTAGAGTTATATCGTCTATTCTATCTCCGAAATAATGAATTGAGTTTGTATCGGCATTTTTGATGCTGCTATTGAAATAGCTTTTCTGGCAATATTTTTTGTTACTCCACCCATTTCAAAAAGTATCCGACCGGGTTTAACAACAGCAACCCAATATTCAGGGGATCCTTTTCCTGAACCCATACGTGTTTCTGCGGGTCGTACAGTAACTGGTTTATCGGGAAATATACGTACCCATATTTTTCCTCCACGACGTGCATTTCGTGTCATAGCCCGTCGCCCAGCTTCTATTTGTCTAGATGTGATCCAAGCGGGTTCAAGTGCTTGAAGCGCATATTTACCGAAACAAATATGATTCCCTCGAGAAGCTATTCCCTTCATTCTTCCTCTATGTTGTTTACGGAATCTGGTTCTTTTGGGGTTATAGTTGATGGATTTTTATTTATTCCATCTCTACTACAGAACCGGATGTGAGAGTTTCTTCTCATCCAGCTCCTCGCGAATTACGAATAAAGTATTTACAAAATGAGCGTTTGACTCAAATTGACTAATCATAGTGAAGATATCTAAATCTAAAGATAGATAATAAAAGTCTGGACTGAGAAGTCAAAATAATATTTAGGGATTGAGTGATCTTTTTTTAAATCTATTTGAATTGAAATGAATTATTCTACAGTTTTTTCATGATTCTCTGAGTCTAACTAATCCTTCATTTTTGACTATTCTTTATATTGCTTTAGATTGAATATTGATTCTTTTGAAAAAAGTTTTCGCGGGCGAATATTGACTCTGTCAATTTAGATTTCATTTCTAGGACGAGTTTGTGACATCTTATAGCTAGTATCTAGAAATAAAATAATTTAACATTGGTTTATTCCGCCATCCCAGCCAGTGAATGTTTAAGATTTTTTTTTATTTCATCTTGAATTGAATTGAATCTTTTGTATTCTCATAAGTTCCGTCGTCCCCATCACTTCTTACTTAATGGTTAGGTCCTAATTTTACAATGGAGCTCAAATAGTAATAATATATGAATAATTTAAGTCTTTAGCCATTTTTCTTAGTCTTTATTGGCTTTAAGCTCTTGACTTTATTTTTTTATTTTATCTCTTCTATATTTAATATCTAATTGAATATTTATATATAGATTATAGATTTCTATAATAAGAGTATATTGTTTTTTATTATTGAATATTCTTAGATTTCTTATTCTATTTTAAATACTTTAATATGCAGAATTTAAGTATTAATGCTTCATTACATTGCCTGTTTTGTTAGACCCTACATATTGGAATTTTCAATCATTGAGCTTCTTTTTCTCCCTTTCTCTCTCCCTTCCAATTATCCACATCTTTTTTATATTTTGCTTCGCAACTTCAATAATATTTGAATACTATTTTTCGTTTATGCAAATAAATGGCAGTTGCTACAACGATATGAGCGGTAATCATATCGTGACTGGTTATTTAGATCCAGATAATGCGAAATTGATGAGTTAATTATTAGGTAATTTCTTCTCGAGTTAGTAGTTGTTACTTTGGGTTTGGTTTCATGCTAACCTTAAAAAATAAACGAGTCGCACACTAAGCATAGCAATGATATTTTTATTAAAAATAAATAAAATTTTTATTCAACCTTATAGAATTCATTATTATCAATTAGAACTGTTCCTGCTCATTACACAAAATAATTTGTGAAATGGCCGCTCGGTATTACAGGTAAAAAGAATGAATAAAATTTTATTGAGCTTGATCAAAAAATATCCAAATTTTTATGCCTAAAACCCCGTAGATAGTTCGAACTGAATAACAACAATAATCAATTTTAGCTTGAATAGTTTGGCGGGGAATTCTTCCTTCTCTTATCCATTCCACACGTGCAATTTCCTTTCCGTCAAGGCGTCCCGCAATTTGTACTTGAATTCCTTTTGTATCTGCTTGTTCAGCTAATTCAATAGCTTTTTTCATTGCTTTTCGAAAGGAAACTCTATTCTTTAATTGTCCAGCTATAAATTCGGCAAGAATATTAGGATTTCCATACGGTTTTTCAATTTTTGTGATAGCAATATTAAGTTTTCGGTTTACGAAATTTAATTTTTTTTGTAGAGCTTTTTGTAATTCTTCAACTCCCTGCGGGCTATTTTCAATGAATACTTTGGGAAATCCAATATAGATTATGACTTGGATTAGATCGAGTCTTTTTTTAATACATATACCTGCAATTCCCTCGGTACCCGAGGGTTTGATTCTATTTTTTTGTACATAATTTTTTATAAAAGCTCTTATCTTTTGATCTTCTTGCAGATTTTCAGCATACGTTTTTGGTTGCGAAAACCAAAGTGAATAATGGGCCTGGTTTGTACCAAGTCTGAAACCAAGTGGATTTATTTTTTGTCCCATAAATACCTCCTTTTCTGGATATCAGAATATGCTTTAGTTCTAGAATTTTTTTTCGCTTGTGGTTTTTTTAGCAAACCGAGCTCCACGGATTCAGAATCATTGAATGAAATATCTTTTAGTACAATAGTGATATGGCAGGTCGGTCTTTTTATTGGATAACTACGCCCGCGAGCCCGAGGTTTTAATTTCTTTCCAGCAGTCCCCTCATTAACTTCAGCTTGACTAATAACTAAATTTGCTTTATTTGAAGCCATAGTGTAACTAGCATTTGATGCGGCTGAATAAACCAATTTTAAAATTTGATAACTGGCACGATAGGGCATGAGTTCTAATATAATAAGTGTTTCCTCATAGGAACGCCCACGAATTTGGTCAATAACTCTTCGTGCTTTATTAGCCGACATAGCTATACGTCGACCTAAAACGTATACTTCTGGGGTTTTTTTTATTTAGCATCTGGTACATAAAATTTGCCTCCTACTAATGACTTATAAGCATCAAAATATTTTTTAGTATTCACATTACCGATGAGATTTCTTATCATTTTTTGCATGTCCTCGAAAATTTAAAGTAGTTGCAAATTCTCCCAATTTGTGTCCGACCATATCATCCATTATATAAATAGGGAGATGCTCTTTCCCATTATGAATGGCAATAGTATGACCAATCATTATTGGAATAATAGTAGATCCCCGGGACCAAGTTATTATTATTTCTTTTTCTCCCTTTGTGTTAAGTTTCTCAATTTTTTTTAATAATTTATGAGCTACAAAGGGATTTTTTTTTAGTGAACGTGCCACAGTTTACTCCTATAAATTTTATTATTCTTTTATTTTTTTATTTTTCATATAATTGAATGAATAAATTTAATTTGTTCTATTATATTAATTTTTATACTATATATATTACATTAAGTATATTCACTCTATTAACTATATTATACTATTATATTAACTGCGGTGACGAAGAATGAGCTTCTCACTATATTTATTCCTCTTTCTAGTTTTTCTTCCAAGTGCGGGATAACCCCAAGGGGTTGTAGGTTTTTTTCTCCCAATAGGAGCTCTACCCTCACCGCCCCCGTGTGGATGGTCTACGGGGTTCATAACTACTCCTCTGACTACAGGACGCTTACCTAGCCATCGTTTAGCTCCAGCTCTACCCAAATTTTTTTGGTTGAACCCAACATTCCCGACTTGTCCTATTGTTGCGGAGCAGTTTTGGGATATAAAACGGACCTCGCCAGAAGGTAATTTTAATGTAGCTGATTTACCCTCTTTTGCAATCAGTTTCGCCATTGCACCCGCTGCTCGAGCTAATTGTCCACCCCTTCCACGTGTAATTTCTAGGTTATGTATAGTCGTGCCTAAGGGGATTTCGGTCAAAGGTAGGGCATTTCCAATTTTGATTGAAACATTTGTACCAGAAACAATGGTATCTCCAATTTGAGCCCCTCTCGGATGTAAAATATACTTCTTCTCACCAGTCTTATAATGTATTAGACAAATGTTTGCATTTCTATTAGGGTCATATTCTATGGTTATGATTCTACCATATAGGTCTTTTTCATTCCGTCGAAAGTCTATTTTACGGTATAGGCGCTTATGACCCCCCCCCCTATGCCTTGCTGTAATGATTCCTCTAGCATTACGACCTTTACCACAATGATGCTTTCCAGAGAGCAAATTTTTTCTTCGAGCAAATTTTGGGCTGTTTACGGTTTCGCTCGGGTTATAAGTTTTGTATAATTGTATTCCCATGATATAAATGATTTTTATTTTGGATTTAAAGTTTATTTGTTTGGAGGTGTAAGCCAATGTCTAATGATCTGCGGTAGCCATTGCATTATATGTCCTCTAATAGGGAGGGCCTACCATTATGTGACCCTTTGCCAGAAGCGTAGCACTACTCAAAGTTTATGACGTGGATTTCAAAAAAAGTCTATTTATTATTTTTTAATAACTAAATTCTTTTTTTTAATATTATATCTTTTATTCCATCCCGAATTTTAATTCATTCCGTATTATTTTAAGTTGAAATAAAAATGTTAATTTTGAGTGTTGATAGAATCTATCTATATCTCTAATATAGAGATAGATTCTCTATATGTATCGGTATCCTAGAATTATCTATTATGATATATGAAATGGAAATAGTCAACATGAAATCTATCTAGGAACATATATCTTCTATGATATTTGATATGGACAAATCTATCTAGGAGCATATATCTTATATGATATTTAATATGGATTATGAAGGAAATGCTCAAAGTAGATCTATGCTAATATATATCCTAAAATATAACAAAAATATCATAAAAAGAAGAATTGGAGGGTCAATGAGATTTTGTGTAAATAACTAATAGTGCTAATAGTGTGCATCCAGTAGGAATTGAACCTACGACTTCGCCAATTATGAGTTGGGCGCTTTAACCACTTAGCTATGGATGCTTAAACGAGACCATCATCTATAAAAATTGAAAATTAAAATATAATAATTATGGTAATTATGAATCTTGGAATTGCAAATAAAAAAAAATGATATTTTATTTTATATGATAGGATATGATAGGAATAGAGAATCTAATATTCAATATCGAATTACAGCAAAAAATATTACATAAAAAAATGTCGTTTAAATAAAGAATTTCGGAAATCTGAAATACTAAACAAAGACTCTATTTATCATTTCTATTTTTACATTAAATAGTCAATAGTCAATTATATAAAACAAGTACTTAAAATTTTTGCATAAAATCTTATGGAGGTATGAGATGGAACCTAAGCAAAACAAGTTCTGGATTCTAGAATTACGAGAGATACTGAGAGAGATTAAAAAATCAAAATATTTTTTAGATTCATGGACCCAATTGAATTCAATCGGATCTTCCATTCATATTTTAGTCTCCCAAGAACGGTTTTTAAAACTGTTTGACCCACAAATTTGGAGTCTTGTACTTTCACCTAATTTGCAGGGTTCAAAAAGCAATCGATCGGTCAAGATTAAGGGAGTTTTACTAGTTTTCGTTGGCGTTGTTATCTTTATTTATCGTATTAGCAATCAAAATATGGTTGAAAGAAAAAATCTCTATTTAAAAAGACTTTTTCCTATACCGATGAATTGCAGTGAATCCATAACTGATCAAGATAGTGGTTATTCTACT